TTATATAAAATTTGATTAAAATTAATATAAAAATTATATAATAAATAATTTAATTATTTAACTTTGAATTTTAATATTTTTATAATTATTAATTCAATTTTTATAAAATTTAAAATATATATTTATCAAACTTAAAATAATCTACTTATATAATTTAAAGTTTTAATATTATAAATTGATAGTAATAATATTTAAAATATTTTTTTTTAAAAAAAATAATTTTATTTTAATTTTTTTTTAATAAAATAATATTTTATTTATTATTGAATTAAAGTATAATAGAATAATTAAAATAATATAAAAAGTTAATTTAGATTATTTTTTATATAATATAAAAAATTTATAAAGATTAGTTAAAATTTAAATAATTTTTATTAGAAATAATTTTTAATTTTTTTTATATTAAAATACAAATTTTTTTATATTAATCTATAATATATAATATAAGATATAAATTTATTTTAAAATTCTAATATTAAATAAATATTATTAATAATTTAATATAATAATTTTAATTATATATATTTTTTAATTAATTTTTAAATTTTTTTTATAAAATATATATTATAACTAATGATATATAATAATATTTTATAAATTAAATAATTTATTTAATTAATAAATAAATAATTTCAAAATTATTATATTATAATATGATATATTTTTAATAATATAATAAATTTTTATTTATTAATAATAAAAAAATAAATAAAAAAATATTTTTAATTTTATTTTTATTATAAAAATTTTATTTAAATCTGTTAGTTTTAAATTTATAAAATTTTTTTATAAATACAGATATTATATTTTTTAAAATAAATATCATAAAAAATAATTATAAAATAATAAAAAAATATTTATAAGTTTTATATTTTAAATATATAAGTAATTTTTATTTAAAGATAAATAATAATTATATTTAATATATAATTAATTTAAATATGACTTAAATTTATAAATAATATATAATAAAAAAAATTATTAATAAAATAAATAATATATTTCAAATAAAATTTATTTTGTAAATATTATTATTTTATATTTTCAAATATATTTATCTTTATATATTAGCTAAAATATATTACTTTTATATATTTTGATAATATTATAATTTTTACTTTTTTTATAATACTTTTAATATACTTTTATTAATTATTCCAATATAATTTAACTTATATACTTTAATCAAACTATTTTAACTAACTGAAAATATTTATGAATAATATTTTTTAAAGTAATAATATAAAAATAATTATTTAATAATGATTGTTCAATAAGATTTAATTAAAGTAACTTTTCTGGCAATCTTAACTTATTTAGTAATTATATCTTTTTGAAATTCTATAAAGGATGCTATTTTGTGAAAATACTTTTTAAACTATTAAAAATCACAAATTAGTCAAAACATTGAAAGTCGAACATGTTCGAATGTTCTGTTGAATCAAAAGATTATGTTATTTGGATATGAAAGTTAGTATTCTTTTTTTGAGATGAAACTAAAGTGTTGAAATATTTATAGTCAATTGTATAAACATGTTAAATATTTATGACTTTTATTGTATCTTTAATAAATTTATCACTAAAAAGCTTACATCAGATATCGATTCTTCCGAGTTATTTGTTAAAGATTTGATTTTGAATTTCTTTATAATTCTCAAAATGAAATCTATCAAATTCAAAGCTTTGTTCACCCATTTTAGATTATTCTTAATTAACGTTAAAATTAACCAGCTCACAAACCGGTTCATGTAGAACTTTACTCACACATGAATTACCGGTATTTTAGAATTATTATATTTTACAGTCGCGCACTCGCTAAATGCATATTTATTTATTTTTATATGGAATTTATATGCTTATTTCCTCTAAAGACATATTTTCCGATGGTTATACATTTGAATATTTTAATTCAACGAAAGTATATTAAAGGTATTTTTTGAATAACAATTCTTTGAGATTATAAAGTAGACATGATAGAGGCATAACTGTACCCACGTGTATATAAGATAATCTCCAATTCTTGTGCGTTCTCACACTATAGGGTCAGAGATCACCCTATTATTTATTTTTCACACGTTTTTTATCTTTAATATCATGCTAACCAAATTTTACTGCAAAATTCTATACGATAATCAATTATCCCTTTCTAGTTCTTCAAATTTTTCAATCGTTTCAATAGTATCAAGCTCTACTTCCTCTTTTTCAGTAGGTTCCACCTGTGTCGTCTTTTCAGTTTCTTCTTTTATCTTTTCAGTCTCTTTTTGTATTTCTTGTATTTCTCTATCTCGATTCTTCTGTTGTTGAACCCGTTTTGCTTTCGTATTAGCGACTACACCAAATATGAATCTAGGAATAAAAATTATTAAGATTAATTCAATAATTTACTATAATGGGATAGAATACATAAATAAAATCTTACCCAACGAGATTGAAAAAAGGTACCCAGAGTTTCGGTTCCAAGTATCGTTGAGCATAGGCCATCGTTAATGGGGAAACGACCCATGATATTCTCATCAACTTCCAGAGAGAGTCTCTTACTACACCATATACATGTGCTGGCGTTTTAACACCTCCAATTATAGCCATTGCAGCCAAAAACACTGAATAATTGACAAGAAATTGACTAAATAAAATAAATCAAAGAGGAAAAATAATCTTTTATCATTAAATTTACCTGCGTTTTGAATAGGAGAAATGATTAAATTCGAAGCAATGATTTGGAGCAATTTGGCACCACTTGTCGTACGCCCTGCAAATACTTTGTTTAATGTCTGAAAAAGAAAATGCCCAAGTGGTCCACTAATAAAGAATCCTAATCACCAACAAAAACATGATAATAATATTTATCAATTACAAAGAATTCTCTTTATTTAAAATAATTAGGAAAGTTAGACAAAAGACATTAATAAATACCGTATATCACCATTTTTACAACTCTTTCATTATTTTCGCTACCGAATATTGTTTTCTTTTCAATCTGTTTTAACTTTCTCTTACGACTACCACTCAACTCTTGCGCGATATACTCTTGCAAGCCCGAAAGAATTCCGGAAGTGACCGCCTTAGTTCGCAAGGGGTGTGCTGTCAATTCTGACAAGTACCAATTTAATGCCAAAGAAGGCAAAAATTGAGAAGATTCTTGAGCTAGTTTTGACTGTGTTGACATATTTTCTTAGTTTAGGAGTATTACTTCGTTAATAGTTACAAGAATTATAAAATAAAGGAATGAAGCAAAGTTTAACTTTTTTAGAACGTAAGAGAAATTTGTCCATTTTATCATTGTTTTATCCAATCAGATTGGGTAACTCCATAATAACATATTAAACATATTAGGAATTATGTGTACAATTTTTTTCCAGTTTCACAGTTCATTAACGTTAACAAAAACGAAATAAAATACTCTATTCGAATTATAAGTAACCACGTGCGCCAAGCCACACCTTTCGTTAAGTCAAAATTTGTTACTAAATTATTAGACGAAAGAAGAATGAGATTTTGGAGTGAATTTCACGTGTAATGATTGATTTTTATCCCGAAAAAATTTTATTTGAACAAATATTCTATTCGAATCCATCAAAAGATATTAGAAAAGCATTTAAAGCATTTAATCTCCTATATTTGAGGTTATCCGGACTAAAATTTAAAGAAAATGATAAAATCCAAATTTCAAATTAATATCTCAAAAATATATAATATACTTTAATTGACAAGACTTTAATCTTCTTTTTATTAAATTTAGAGTCAAAAATTTCAAATGTATTTTTAGTTTGGGCCATTATACTGATTAGTAATATTAACAAAACTCTTTATATCTTATAATTCCATATAAATTAATATTATATATATAGTTAGTGACAAAAAAATTTAATTTCTTAGATTTATTATAATTCAATAAAAAATTGTTAAAAAAGTTTACATTTATTAATGATATAATTTTAAACTATTAGATAGATATCAAATCAAATATTAATTATCTGTATTATATCATTCTTAAATAAATAGTTTAGTAGAATTTTTGAATAAAATAACTTGCACAGTGCTAGCAAAGTATATTTAACTTTATAAATAAGATTAAAATCATTATATTTCAAGTATTTTATTTACTTATAGAATAATAAGATAGAATATTATATGATTTAAACTATTTTATTTGATAAATAATTATCAAAGTAATTATATCTTTAGATATTTAACTAGAATTATTAAGTAATCAATAAGTAATATTAGTAAATTATCTAAAAAACTTGTTATATAATTAATTAATTAATTAAAAGTTTACTATGAAATAGCTTTATAAAATATTCAAAAAAATGCAAGTAAAACAAAAAAAATATTATAATTATAATAAAAATACTCAAGAATTTAAAATAAATAATAAAATCTTAATAAATAAATAAAAATATAACATTAATATTATGATAAATTTAGTAAAAAATATAAAAAACTATATTTTATTTATAATAAATTTGATAAAAAAAACTATATATTCTTAATAATAAAATTTTAAAAAATCTTTATAATAAAAATTATCTAAAGTTTATATTAAATTTAATAAATTAGAATTTATTATTATTATATAAGTTTCATAATATAAAACTTTAAATAAAAAATTTTATTATTAATTTACTCTTTATCTTTATCTTATAATCTTAGTTATATTATTTTATTTTATTATTTATTAAATTATTTATTATTTTTTTTTATTATTTTTATTATTATTTTCTTATTAATCTTATTATTTATCTATTTATAATTCTTATTTTTTAATTTATTTTTTAAAATATAATATTAATTATTCAAATTTTTAATTATATTATATTTTTAATTATTTCAAATATATATTTTATTTCTTAAATTATTATTAATATTTTAATTATATATAATAAAATACTAATTTAAATAATATTATACTAATAAAATTCATATTATATCTAATATTTTACTAATTTATATTTAATATTTTATTAATTAAATTATATAAGTAAATATAAATCAGATAATATTTTATATAAATATAGATTAATGTAATATAATTTATTATAAAAAAATCTTATAATTAGTAATTAGTTAGATAATTAAAAGATAATTCAAGAAATAAAATAATTTTTAAAAAGTTATTTAATATTTTTAATATATATTTATTTTTTTATTTATTATTAATTTATTTTATATTAAATTTTAACTTATCTAAATAGTAAAAGTTATTTTTTTTATATTATTATTTATATTTTATAATTAGTATTTAATAGCTTATATTAATAAAATTTTTATAATTAAAATTTTTTTATTTTGAAAAAATTGATTATAAAAAATTTAAAATGCTTTTTTTAATCTTTTTTTATTTATTATTTAATAAATATATACTTAAATTATATAAATTTTAAATATATATACTTGATAATCTAATAAATAAGTTTACTTAAGATTTAAAATAATAATTAAAGTTAATTATAATAATTTATTTAAGCTTATTATTAAAATTTTTTAATTTTAAAAATATAAATTATAAAAAATTTTAATAAGCTAAGTATTTAAATAATCTTAAATAAAGTAATTTATCATACTCTTAGATATATATATTTAAATTTTTATATTATTTAAATAAATATTTATGAAGAAAATTAAAATATCTAGTTTTTTTATTATATATTATACTTTATTAATATTAATTAAAAATAATAAAAAATTAAAATATTAAATTATATTTTATTATTTTATTAATAGATTTATTAATTTTATTATTATTTTTTTTATTTATTTTTTTAAAAGTATTCTTACTTATAAATATTATCTAGTTTAATTCTCTTAATTAAATATAGTTATTAATATTTTTATTATATTTTTAATTAATTAAATATTATTTTTAATTTGTTTTTTATTTATTTAATTAAGAATATTAATAATATTATAAAATTCAAAATTTATATAAAATAATATATATAATATTTATATTAATATTAATAAAAATTAAAACTCTTATTATTAATTTCAAATTATTTTTAGTTTAATATTTATTAAATTAATATTTTATTTTAATATTTTAAATTAAAAATATTATTTTAATATAAAAATATTAAATATTTTAATATTTTAATCTATTCTAATAAAAAATTTATATTTTAAATTCAGAAAATTAAAAATAATATTTATTATATTATTTTTATTTAGTAAAAAATTTATTATAAAAAATTAAGTAATTTATATTATTAATTATATATTATTTTTAGTTATTAAATATTAATTCTAATTATTTATTCTTTTTTAAACTTTTTATAAATTAATAATAAGAAAAATTAAAAAAATAATAAAATAAAAAATATATTTTTTTATAAATTATTTTAACTCTATTCTATATTATTTAACTCTTTTAATACTTGATAATTTTTATAAATTTTAATTTAAAAAGTAAAATATTTAAATTAATATAATTATAAATTTAAGATTTTAAATATTATAATTTATATATTATTTTTATTATTTTAACTTTAAAATTAATTTTTATTAAATATAATCTTATTATTAATATTATATTCTTAATATATTAATAATATATCTTATTTTTTTTATTTAATAAAAATATTTTAATTAAAAAAGCTTGAATTTTTTAATAACTTTTGTAAAATATTATTAATTTATAAATTATATTAAAAATTATTAATTTATAATAATATTATATTTTATTATAAATTATTAAATATAATAATAAAGAATTAATTTTATAAAATAATATAAAAAATATTATTTTATAGTATATAATATAAATTAATATAATTTTTTATCTTAATTTAATAAATTATAAATATTTAATTTTCTATTTTTTTTAAAATATTAATTAAATTCTTTAATAATTTTATTTTTTTATCTTAAAATATTTTATTTTATTATATTTTAATAACTTAATTATCTTATATAATAATTAAAATTTTATTATTAATTAAATATTTAATAATAAATCTATTATAAAGTTCTAATAATAAATAATTTCTTATATTATCATTTTTGAGATTAATTTTTAAAAGAGTTATTTATTTTTAAGCTTTTTAAATAAATATAAATATTATTAATAATTAATAATTTAAATTAAATATTCTATAATTTATTAGATTTATCTTATTGAGATAATTATTTTAATAGTTTTTTTATTTGAATCTGGTTATTAGTTATTAAAATATATTAAAAATTACTATTATAAATAAAAATTACTTATTTAATCTTTTTAAAACTTTTAAATTTGAAGAAAGATTATTTATTTTAAAGAATTACTTATTATTAGAACTTTATAATATATATATTTTATTATAAATAGCTTAATTTTAAATATTAATATTAAAATTATTTTTATTAATATAATTTAAACTTTTTAATTATATTTTATTTTTATTATTAAAATAGTATTTACAGTTAGATTTTTCTAAATATAACTTTTTAAATATATAATTTTAAAATATATATTATTAATTTAATTTTATAATAAGATCTATAAACTTATTATATATATTTTTTAAATATATATATAATTAAAATTTTTATAAATATATATATTATAACTAATCACTTATTTGTGTGGTATAATAAATGTGGCACAGTATATAATGCAGTCACAATACGTGGCATAATAATTGCTGATTACTACTAAATCAGACAAATAAGTAATTTATATTAATTAATCTTATTTATAATTAACTCTATTTTTAACTTATATTATTACTCATATTTAGTCT